CCGGTCTGTGTAATAGTAAAGGGCAACAGCTGTTTTATTTTGGTACAGACACAAGTTAGATGTTTCTAGTGATCTCTTAGCCCTTTGTAGTACTAAAACATTTAAAGATGTATTTATTTGTTTATTCCACACATGGCAGTAATATAAAAACAAAACATGTACACTTTACAAAACATGTACACTTATAATGGTTGTTTTTTGTTTGTTTGTTTTTTATAGCACATGTTGGAAAGGAGCAAGGCGAAGACAATCTTATTTTACCTGCCCCTTCTTAAAAGAAAAAAAGAAATGAAATAACCATAAAAAAGTAAAAACCAGAACACAATCAAAAGTGAACTTCAAACTGTCTAATTAACCTTTCTTACATTTTCTTAAACATAGACATTTTCTTACAGCCCTTTAAATCATTCGGCAAATAATTCCACTTCTTTACGCCGACTACAGACACACATCTGCTTTAAAGTAGTAGGTCCAAACTGATGCTTACAATGTCATTTCCTCCTATGATGCTCATCCTCTGAAAAAATATAAAAAAGTTTTATATATTTTCTGGCAGTATTCTGTTTTTTGCTTTATGCATAACTTGAAAAAAAAAAATAATGTGTGGAAATATTCTTACATCATTTTACTTTAAACTGTAAACCTTCAAATCCAAATGTCAGTTATTCACCAAACTAACCCTAGCTTAATTGCCTTGTTAATAGATTAAAAGAACACTTCATTCAAACTTGACATAAACAGAATAAAAAAGTTTTGGTTACCTATTCCGCTTTTCTATTAATCACCAGCTCTTAGTTCAAATAAACCCTCCATTCATCCAGTTAGCTGCCCGCTGAGCGGAGGCTCTCACTCTTTCTTTGGAGACAGAGCGATAATTTAGCAAGATAAAACTACGAAAACCAAAAACTAAACCGGCGATGTACTCAGCCAAGTAAGGGATAATGTGCTGCGACGCGGTCATTATGGTGAAAATAACACCGACAGGCTGATCAGGAGCCCGACGCGAAGCGGAGGGATCTAGATCGCTTATTACATGGCCACATTCACAACAAAGTAACGATATAACTCCCAATATTAATTGAAATGCTTTTGTGGATTTAGAAAATGATTTTATTTATTAAAAAAATTGTTGTATGTATTGACTTAATTTGACATGCATCCGCTAAGAAAAATAGTCCGTTGTTACTGTTTGAACTAACGTAGCAATGGCAGGAACTGTTTCGATAGCGTTTTTGAGGAGCTTTTTGATTACAGATTTGAAAACATCGTTGCTTGCTTTAAAAGTAGCACAATTCATTATGTCAAACCTTGGAAAGTATCTAGATATCCCTGCCCTAATGACAAAGTAAATATCAACTGAATATGTGTCGCCGTTTGATGTCTATGTCTGGACCGCTGCGTAAAAAGGAGGATTTCTGCCCGTTACTTCACCGCTGTTTTCTTGTCGCTCTTGTCTTGTCAGTTAGAAAAGCAAACTGCATGCAGTTTGCTTTTCGGCCAAACTGTATACAGTTAAATCTAACGGACTTCTTTCTGCAGATGTGAGCGTCCTTAACAACGGTCAATAAGTCCTTGACAGCGGTCTGTCTGTTCGGTATTAACAACGTGTCACGTGGTCTGAATTGACCAATCAGAATCGAGTATTCAACTAAGCCATGTAATAATTGCTCATATTATTCGTCCAATTGTCCAACCCTATTGTCTAATGATGTGACTTGTAATTTACCTGTCATCAAACGTATAGTCTGTATATAACAACCCCACAGGAAATGCACCAACAAATGTACATAGTGGCAAAATAGTTGTAATACGACAACGTGTCAGTGTAGGTTTAAATAATCCTAAAGTACCTTCAAAGTTTAAAGGAAGAAATTGGAATCAATCATGTCGGCCGTATCCGATAAATCGATTTGTTGCTGTTTGTCATTTGAGATACCGTGTTTTAGATATGACATATAACGCATTGTATCACTACATAGACTATAATAGAATATTTTACTGTACAGCCTCATCTGCTGAGGCGTCAAAGCTACCACATGACCAGAGTTCATTGAGTACACAGCCATGACTCTCCACTGAATAACCGTGCTGTACATGCTTCTCACGCTTTCTCCCGGAATGTATCTTTTATCCAAACGCTCTTTGTCTCATGATTTCTTGCAATCAACTCCTTGTGTCTGATATCTGATGTTCAAGGTTACGTGTCTGTCTGCGCCTGTGTGTGTGTCTGTGGGGGTGTCTGTGGGGGTGTCAGTGATTTAGTCTTCATGTGACTTTTTTCTCAAGGGAATATTTCCATGGAAAAATGTAATGCTTGTAACACAACATCCTCTATGATGATTTGCATGTGAAGAGGAACACACAGGTCTTACAATCACCTCATTTTGTTGGTGTTTTTTGATGTCTGGTTGTCACCGCCACAGGAAAGCCTTTGGGTTTGTTTGTGATATTTATATATATATATATATATAAGGACAACAGGAAGAGATTGTTTTCAGTCTCCAATAAATGTTAAGTTAATCTGAGTTCAAAGCAGTTCATTTTTGGACACTTAAAAGTGCACAAATACAAGTATGACTTTTTGGGATTAAATTGGAGTTGATAGAAATTGGAAATCTTGTTTGGATAAATTCTGGATTTTTTTACTGTTTATTCAATGGTGCTTGCATTAAGGTCTTTTTTTAGACAGGTAGTGATGTTACGCCTCTGTATCATTTATGTGTCAATTCTGGCTAACAAGAAACTCAGGGCTTCGAGATGATAGTTTAAAACCAGGGGACACAGTACACTTTTTATATATACACTGAACAAAAATATAAATGCAACACTTTTGTTTTTGCTCCCATTTTTCATGAGATGAACTCAAAGATCTAAAACATTTTCTATTTACACAAAATAACCATTTCTCTCAAATATTTTTCACAAATCTGAAAAAATCTGTGATAGTGAGCACTTCTCCTTTTACGAGATAATCCATCCCACCTCACAGGTGTGGCATATCAAGATGCTGATTAGACAGCATGATTATTGCACAGGTGTGCCTTAGGCTGGCCACAATAAAAGGCCACTCTGAAACGTGCAGTTTTGCTTTATTGGGGGGGGTCTGGGGAGGTCCGAAAACCCTAGGGTTAAACCCTAACCCTAACCCTAACATGTCACCCATTGAGCATGTTTGGGATGCTCTAGATCGCGTATACGACGGCGTGTTCCAGTTCCTGCCAATATCCAGCAACTTCACACAGCCATTGAAGAGGAGTGGACCAACATTCCACAGGCCACAATCAACAACCTGATCAACTCTATGCGAAGGAGATGGGTTGCACTGCGTGAGGAAATGGTGGTCACACCAGATACTGACTGGTTTTCGGACCCCCCCAGACCCCCCCAATAAAGCAAAACTGCACGTTTCAGAGTGGCGATGGGTTGCACTGCGTGAGGAAAATGGTGGTCACACCAGATACTGACTGGTTTTCGGACCCCCCCCAGACCCTGAGGAACTGGAACACGCTGTCGTATAGAGCATCCAGAGCACCCCAAACATGCTGAATGGGTGACATGTTAGGGTTAGGGTTAGGGTTTAACCCTAGGGTTTTCGGACCCCCCAAGACCTCCCCAATAAAGCAAAACTGCACGTTTCCGAGTGGCCTTTTATATAATATATGCAATAATCATGCTGTCTAATCAGCATCTTGATATGCCACACCTGTGAGGTGGGATGGATTATCTCGGCAAAGGAGAAGTGCTCACTATCACAGATTTTTTCAGATTTGTGAACAATATTTGAGAGAAATGGTTATTTTGTGTATATAGAAAATGTTTTAGATCTTTGAGTTCATCTCATGAAAAATGGGAGCAAAAACAAAAGTGTTGCATTTATATTTTTGTTCAGTGTAGTATATGAACATTCGACATTCTTTTACTGATTCAGTGTACCTGGAAATAAGTGTGTAAAGGAGCTTGTACGCTCAAGAAAAAAAAAGGTACGCACACTTCTATCACTGACAAACTCGGATATTAAACTAATTTGTTTAATAAATAATACTCTATGGAAATGATGAAAAAATTGTAAAAGCTCGGTACAGCCCCTTTTTTAAAGCAAGTATTTATAAATTGTGTTCGGTTTTATCTAATAAACTAAAGCATCACAAAAGCAGCACTCTCTCCATCGGTCACTTAATCTAATAGGAATGTCATCAAGTTGGCCACTCTCACAGCCCCTCCCTTTAGATCTCTTTCCAAAGCCCCCACAATAATCATAAATAACGTAAACATATAAATATAAACTCTGCTACATATTTTACTTTTTAATACTTAATATTCCATGCCTACATAATAACTTGCTTTATATTGGTTACTGTACATTTTGTAATTCAACATATTTTCTACTTTCTTGTTTATTTCTAGTCTTTACATTTGTATTGTACAATGCCATGTCTTTTTATGCTGCTGCAACACAAACATGTCCCAAATTGGGATCAATAAAGTACTTCTTATCTTATCTTATTTAATTTCGACAAAATGAAGTGATAGGATAGAGTCCTTCCCCGACCTCATCAACTGGATTTTTGTCTTTTTTTCCCCCTCAAAGCATTTGATTGATGAATTATTGTCCGGATATAAAGACTCTTGGACCATGGACTGGGGCTTGCAGTGGACCCGGGTTTGAATTCGGCCTGGGACAATTTGTGTCATCGCTGTCAATCCAATAAAGGCACTGGTCGTATCGAAACAAATCTAAAGATAAAAGGTGTGTTTCATACATTACCCACTCTAGCTTTTAATATTAGACAACAAAGGTTTTGTGTGAGGATGAAATGACTCTCACGGACATCACCTGACCGTGAAACCGTGGAGCCAAGCCCCTCCGTTGCTCGCACACATCCTATTGGTCTGCTGTCGGTGTAGCAACATATGAGTGAGAGAGGAGAGGAGGGGCTTCTGACTCCACAACAACACCGGCGCGAGTAAGACCGTAGAGAGGAGAGGGAATGCGGCAGAAGGAGGGAGCAGACCGTCAGTGAGAGGGAAAGAGACAGATCCTTACATTGTTTCTCCTGCTTCCTCACCCTCAGTCTTTCTATCACTCTGCTTCCATCTGCTTCTAATTCCTCTGTCACTCTGTCTTTCCTGCTACTGAGCAGTCTTTCTTCTTCTGTCCTACATTCTGACTTGTTACTATCTCTCTGTCTCTCCTCTTCCTCACCTATGGATGGTGAGCTTCTCCCCCTTTCTTCTTTCTTCTTCTCCTCTTCTGTTTCTCACTATCCTTCTTTGTCTCCCCCTTTTTTACTTTGATCTTTCCCTTCCTTGCACCTCGCTGTCATTCATCCGTTGTCTTTGGGTGCGAGGATGCCAGTCCTGGAGGGGCTCTGGGGTCCCGATCTCCGGATGCGGGACTCCGGTCTCGGGGTCGATGTGGGGGTCTGTCCGGATGAGGCTCCCAGCCCGCCAGTCTGGGGGTCTCTAAGGACACCTCCTATCACCTGTGGGGGCCTCTCGCTGGCCCTGGAGCTGCCGGCTCTCATACGGCAGCTCAGGTCCGTCTGGAGGGCTCGCAGGGGGGGCCCCCGGGGGCCAGAGAAGAGCCAGACGAGCACTTGGGTGGAATCAGAGAAAGAGGAGGTAGAGGAGGTGAAACAAGGCGTTGAAGACGGGAGCGCTCATCTGGAAGGTAAATGTCTTGCCCATAATACATGTTACAAATACAGTAGATCTACAGGGAGTTGGTATCTCATGAATACTTAATGTTTAATGTACGTTCTCATTTGGAACGCTAACTGTAAGGAAAACAGAGTGTGGCTTCTCATCGAAATTCTTTGGGCACATTCCTACAGGATTTTCAATGATTTGTATAATTTATCTTTACAAAACAGTGCTCGTTTACTGGTAGGTCACTCTTTGAATAAGGGTTTTCCGGCCTTTTTTTTGTTTGCATTTGATTGTTTGACTATTGAATCTTTGTCACGTTTTCATTTTTGACGTGTTTGTATTTTGCGTGTTTGTAAGTGATGTGGGTCGAGGCGAAGTTAAGAGCTTTTGAGACGCCGGTCAGAGTAGACAGTGGAGTGAGGGATTTGTGCTCTAATGACAGTGTGCTACCATCTGCCGAGCTGTTCTGATGAAACTGATGACACTGATGTGACGCCATCAATCAAGCCGAGTCCGTCTGTCTGGAATACAACACTGGTGACGCAAAGTAACACTGCTGATAGTCTGCTGTGATGAATTCCAGAGAGAAGGAATTATTTTACTTTAAACAAATGTTTAAAATCAACAGTAATGACAGCAAATAGGTTCATCTTATATTTGACAATGTATAGATATGATTTACATTTTAACGATAACTTTTATTTTAGCATATTAACAAGACTTGCAATAACACTTTAATCAGTAATCAGATAACAGCGAAGGAATATTCCACTTATAAATCTTGACACGCTTTAGTGATGATTCATACTGTGGGGAATTACCTGTCTGCGAGCATTGACTCATAAGGTGGAAAACGGACAAGTGTACGCTTTTCGGTGACTTTCCCTCAGCATCGCGATGACCTCATCCGTACTGTGACTCCTTACAGAGCGGCTATCTGCACGCTGTTTGATTTCACTGCATAAAACGTGTGTCAAAACACGATGAGATAACCCATCAGCGGCGATAGTGAGTCATCATGACATTTCCAAGGGTCTAAAGGGCTGAAAAAGAGCAGTATTTATAGGAACGTTTAGGTAGAAAAAGCACACAGTTTAAGAGTTTCACATCGTGCCCCAGGCCTACAAGGAAAACGGCTTATTCCATCTTCCACACATTTAAAGAAATGTATTAAATATCTGCCTTTTTTTTTACATTAAAACATATATCACTAATGAAGAAGAGCTCTCTGGATAAAAAAAAATATATATATTTCCTGTAAAGTTCGGCATTTATTAAAACTTTTCTGCGTTTTGTGTTCAGATGTGACAATAAAAAAGTAAACTGCTAAAATAGAGCTGACATGATAAGTCAATTAGTCGACTAGTCAATTGTTAGATAATTAACCGGCAACTTTTATTGCTCATAGGCAAATCGTACATTAATTTTAAAGTAAAAATACCCAAATGTCACTGCTTTCAGCCCTGTGATGTAACCAGTATCTGTTTATTTTAAATTGAATTATATTACAATTATCCTATAACAGGATATCATTGGAATGTGGGCTGCTTGTTAGAAAGCCAAGGCCCTACCAGACGCGCCATTCCATGTGTGTAATCTCGGATAGAACCTCCTGTGCGAATATGCAGTTGGTGTTTATTCACGACCACATGATGGGACACGTGCAATCGCCGTCTACTAACACCCTTTCCTACCGATTCATCGTAAATGACCCAGTTCTGCGCCGCGCAGAGACAATAACCTATTTACCACACAGCGTTAAAGGGAGAGGAAGGTAATGAAGAGAGAGGGAGAGCGGGTGTTGTTGTTAACCAGGAAGAAATAAAGGATGATGGGAAGATTGAGGGGTTAGAAAGAGGGCGAGAAGTATCTGGAGACGGGAGGAGAGGACTGATGAAAATGAGCACGAGTGAAGGCGGAGAGCCACAGGGTTGTCTTTTTTTTGGGAGGTGGGGGGGGTTTCCATGTTATGTATTTCCCTCTCTCTGTGCCTCCACCCACAGGTAAAAAAACAAACAGGTTTTCTCTCTTTTTTCTCTCTTTTTTGTTCAAACTCTTCTGCCTCACTTCACCAGGCTGAGCCACTTCCCAGAAGCTGTTTATATTTGTATGTTGAACTTTACAAAGCATAGTAAATAAGGAATGATGCCACTTCTCCACTGTATCTTTTATGCATAGCTGCCTATCCTGGGCAACACACACACAACCAAAAAACACTTTCCTCCACTCTGGCAACTCTGGCAACTCACAATTCAAGATCTGGCGACCCGAGAGAGTTACCACGGTGACCCCAGGTCCATTAAGGTGGTTTAGATGCTGTAAGTCACAGAGGTGATGTTAGCGGGTAACTCCTGGGACAAAATACGCTCCAGTTCCTCACATCTGATCTTTAAATTATTCAGTGTTCCCATAGTTTTCAGTTTATTCAAGTGAAAAGGTACTGTGTGTGCTTTGGACCTCAGTTCTGTCTTGTTCTTGGACTCTTGGCTGTGTGAGTTGTCCATTTTAAATGGAGGACGTATTCAGTGTTGAAGGACTCTGTGAGGCTGTGTGGCCTCTCCTGTTTAATATGTGCTCTCAAAAAGGATGAGAAAAAAAGAAGGGTACTTTTCTGCGGGAAAAATGTGTATAGATAAAAAAGGCTTTATATCCATTAAGGAAGAAAATGCACTTTCATTTGTCAAAAATGTTACTTCAATTTATTTATTTTTGGCTAAGAAATATGTAGGAAAAACATCTTAATATTTATTATTAAAAACTCCTATGTCAATTTTGCAATTATTTTTTAGGGTTGACTATTGGTTTACAAAATATGAAGACAATGACATTTTAATAATCATTTGTTATGTGCAATCACTAAGTGGGAACACTTAGTGATTGCACACTGCACACTGTTATGTGCAGAACATGTCATCCCTTTAATTTAATCCAGTCTCTAAAACAAGGAAAACCCACTTATGAGCTTCCACAGTATCCAAAATGTCAGACTTTATCTAGTCATGTAAAACAATATTGATATAATATTAAAACGCCCAGCCCTTTTCTTGTTTTACATTCAAACTCATATAGAAAACCTTACGGCCCGTCTACACTACAGGCATGAAAAAATCTTGAAGCTGGGCATGTCTGAAGCTTGGCGATTTTTTGCGACCAACAACCAATCACATGAATCTCCCGCCCCCGACATACAAAGCAATAGCAATGTTAAAACGAAGTAAACTGGATATAAACTCTCAAAACAGGCGAAAAACCTACCAGTTTCACCCACTGTCTCTGCCACCTCCCTCCATGCCTGGTTCCTCCGGTTTGTGTATTGGCCATGGTAAACGGTACAGTTTTGGTCGTAAGAAAACTGGTGGATTTGCTACCCGTAATATCTCGTTTGGAAATATGGAGGAAAATGACTGCGGTCTGGCTCTCTCAGCGTTGCACGCGGTTTTGATTGGCTGCGCTTGCACTAACGGGATTTGCATAAACAGGATTTGATTGGCTGATGCCAAGCATCGAGCCTCAAAAGTTGAACATTGTTCAACTTTTGATGCCGATAGATGCTCGTGATGCTTGCAAAGCCATGCCATGCTCCCCAATGCAGTTCGGCGAAGATTAAAAATCTTCTACGTCACCCCATTCAAGTTAATGGGCGAAGCGTTGAAAGCATTTTTCGAAGCCTGTAGTGTAGACGGGCCGTTAGTCTTTTCTAGCCGAAAATCAAGAACGCTGCTCCTTAGTTACAAAACACACGGAGCCCTCACCCACGTTTTATAATGAATGACTCGGACCAATCGGCATCAGTGTGACGGTACGGTAAGAACATCATTAATAAGTGCAGGAACAGAATCAAAGCGACACCATAACAGCTGCACAGTGGCGTGACATCCCATCTCCTCGGGCAAAGTTGGACCAGATGCATTATGTCCTGGTGACGCAGCGATGTCAAAGATCCTCTTGTTTCAGAGAGTCGGGGTCTAACAGAGACTCTAAATCTGCTTTTATGAGGCTTATTATGTGAACATCTACAACCAGGGAACACTTTGCCCCCATTGTCCTCTCTCATCCCGCGCGCTGCTCCACTCATCGTTCACACATCAAACTTCAGCTCGCTTTGCTCCTCCGTTTCTTCAGATCTACTTCACTCACCTCTCTATATCCTCCTGGGAAGTTTTGATTCGTAGGTTTTATCTGAGCATGTTTGTCAAAAGAGAACACAACTTGACATTGATATAACAACATGTATTTATAATGGCTTCTGTCTTTCTTTGTGTCTGTGTGCAGCTGATGGCAGAGTGAACACTGGTCATGCTGGTGTGTTGCTGGTTGAGAGACGAGGCTCCTACCCGCAGATTGACCTGAGAATCCTCAAAAGTACGTGTCACGATTTTAAAAAAAAATAATAATAATTGTGATTCATCATTTTATTCCATTCAAAAATGCTTTAAACTGTTAAAATGACACTGAACATACTGGAATCACTTTCCCTTACATTTTGTTATTTTCTTTCATGACCTGCGATAAATTCTGTCGTCCCATCCCTACTTAACCTATTTAAATACAAAACAATATACTCCATTTATCAATAGCAGCAATTACCAATTGACTAACTGCTCATTTGATTTTGTAGAGAGGAATTTGAAGGCTAAAAATGTGTTCTTTTAGACAGAATCAGCCATTGATTTTTGGTGCGCTGAATGCAACATACAAGGAACTTTTCATTAATTAATTATTGCTGTTGGCAAACTTGATGCGTCATTCACTGCATTCTGTCAATACAGAAGCGAAGCAGAATCAGGGTAAACGTGCAATATAAATCTTAATCCTTAGAAAGCACCACATATAATTCAATGAATTTATTGACAAAATGATTACAAATACAAAAACAATCATGAGACAGGATGGAGATGTATGAAATAGGGCAATAAGCTATCCACATCTTTGGAATAAGGGCTCGTTAGCTAAACTTAAAGTGTTTACAATATATATTACAATCTATGAAATCTTAAAACTGTTTATAAAGATGCTTTTGTGTCAGTGATGCATTTCCTTGTTAGTTACTCTGCAGGGACTGTTAATGTATTTGTATTTTCAGCCAGTGCCCAGCAGGGGGGGGTAGAGTCCGGCACCAGGAGGAAGGTGAAGCGTCAGCTGAGCTTTCAGAGGTACTGCCACGCCTCCAGGGTGCTCAGGGGGGCGATGCCCAACTCCCCGGGGTCCCTGCACCTACTGGACAAAAACTACCTGGGACAAGCCGCAGTAAGAACACACTTACTGCAAACTATTGTAGATATGTGAATATGTCAAGTTTAAATCACAAATCAGTTCTGAAAACTCTCTCTTTTCAGCACATGCTGTCAAAAGTCGGCACATGGAACTTTGACATTTTCCTCTTCGATCGTCTTACAAATGGTAAGAGAGATTTTCCTACTAAGTTAAACAGATGTATTACCTCACCCACCATATTCCTTCACCAGTTTAACTTTATAATAGCATTGTTTTTGTTTTGTTACAGTTTGAGTTTAGATTCAATGCTCTAAATATATATTGAATTTGTGCGCTGTAGGCAACAGCCTTGTGACTCTGATGTGCCATCTCTTCAATGTCTACGGTCTCATTCACCACTTCCAGCTGGACATGGTCAAACTGCACAGGTTTCTCGGTAAGTGGCAAGCAAGTGTCCGCATCACACATCCACCCTCTGTCCCGCCATGCTTCCAATAAAAAAAGATTTAAAAGTGGACACTTATAGTTTGACTTTAAGTTGCAAAAGAGCCTACCATATTGTTATAAGAACCGCTGGAGACAAAAACCTTTTTTGTTATGGAAACTAAGTGAGCATTTGTATGTCCTTATACGTCCTTTTGTTTTGTGTGGTTTACTCTAGAATCTAGATTCTTATCTTTTCAACATTCACAACTACTAAAATCTTTTTTTTTAAAATGTTTTTTCTTTAAAAAGCCTAGATAATGTTATCAATAGACAATAATCCACACCAAGTCAAAGTAATGTCAAGCATTATAATATAAATGAAAAATACCAGTTTTACAGTGATCTTTTTATTTATGTAACAGGCATCATTTACATTTTGTTTAAGTAACTTTACTCCATCTTTACACATGTTTGCACAGAAGACTAGAGTAGATCCTTAAATTAAAACCTCTTTGTACTGATTTTAAAATTAATTCAATGATTTGCCCATAGCAACACAATGTTATGAATTGAGAGCTGATCATTTTATAATGGTCAAAATGTGGATTAAAACATCAAGCTTAATTATTTGTGTGTAGATCGGATAATGCTCATCACACATATAATGTTGTGTGATTTCATAACTTAAGGACACCTCAAGAAGAAGCCTGGAGACAGGAGCATATGATTTTGGGCGTTAACTTGCAAGAAAGGCCTCAATCATCCAATACAATCTCTTTTTATAGTCTCAGATATTACATAACCTTACATCATTCAATGAATGCCTCTGGGTCATCATTGGAATACACTTCAGTGTAGGTGCTGAAGTAAAGTCCACGAGAGGACACCGGAGGCCCAGATACTCATGTTTACTAAACACCACTCAATACAACATACTGTAGACATACATTCATATACTACAATGACTCAGACAATCACAGTCAAAATGTAAATAGGGTTTAACCTTAATCTGTCTTGCCAGGCATGGTGCAAGAGGACTACCACTCCCAGAATCCCTATCACAATGCTGTCCATGCAGCTGATGTCACCCAAGCCATGTACTGCTACCTGAAGGAGCCAAAGGTAATCGAGAATCACACTCACCTCTCTTTCACACACACACACACACACTCTCTCTCTCTCTCTCTCACTCACTCACTCACTCACTCACTCACTCACTCACTCACTCACTCACTCACTCACTCACTCACTCACTCACTCACTCACTCACTCACTCACACACTGTAAGGCTTCAATGGGCCTGAGGTCCTTCTTGACATATTCTATTAGCCTTCCTTCCCGAGGGAGAACTCCCGCTCACTTAGAGCCGAGCACACATCCATCCTCCGCCTGCAGAGAGCCCTGAAGCCCTCTGACAGGATTAAGAGTATCTATCCCTCCATACAGTAATTGCTTTTGTGTCATCTGTTGCTCTGTAAAGCACTTTGTGATGCACCTATTTTGTTAAAAGCACTTGCATAAATACAACATCACAATACACCAGTGTTTACCTAGATAACAGCATACACACTCTAAATAGAAAATGCTGCTTGTCTGATCGATACGCCACTTTGCCCTTTTACATACTATCAAGCATTTATCCTCAACCTGTGACATAAATATATGTCTGTTATCAATATCAGAAAACAATATTTGTTTTGTATTGTTTCACCTTAATGTCAAATTATTCAATATCAGAATCAAATATACTTTTTTATTTGGTAATTAAACAATTATAAGCTCTTCATGGCATCTTCATATTTGAATGTGTTTCTTTGTTATCTGTATATATATATATATATATATATATATATATTTTATATATATATATATATATATATATAATTTATTTCAATTGTTTTATGAAGTGCGTCTTACATCTGTCTTGCTTTGCTTTTTGAGTTGGTTAGCAGTTGTTCACTTTTGGATTTTAAAATGTTATTGATTGTATTGTAAACTTATTTTTAACTCCTTGAAATCACGCATGCACACATAATAATAATAATAATACATTTGATTTATATAGCGCTTTTCTCTGATTCAAAGTCGCTTTACAATATAAGGGAGGGTTGGGGTATGCTAATATATTTCACCCTCTGACTGGATTCGAAGGTCTTTCGTGTCATGATCTGTCTATCTTGTGTTATGTGCAACATTGTATAAAAAGTGATTTCAAAGTAAGGTTTTATTGTTATTATCAAGAGTCCCTCCTACATTAGGAACAACATGACCTTGGTGTGTTGCAGCTGGCGGAGCAGCTGAGTCCTCTGGACGTGTTCCTGGCTCTGATGGCAGCAGCCGCTCACGACGTGGACCATCCCGGAGTCAACCAGCCGTTCCTCATCAAGACCCGACACCACCTGGCCTCCCTCTACCAGGTAAACACAGCTGGGCTCACGTGTGTCAGTACTCGGGCTAAACTGTGTGTTAGTTGTGGTGTTCGGCCTGTAACTGAGTGTGTCTCCACAGAACACGTCTGTGCTGGAGAGTCACCACTGGAGATCCACCGTGGGCATGCTGCGAGAGTCCGGACTGCTTTCCCACATGCCGGCTGACATCTCGTAAGAACTTTGACAAAAACACACAACATGAACAGATAATTTAGTAGGATTCACCACTCGTATTGAAGAATTTGACTTCAGAACTGATGTGTATCCAGGTCTTCTGTAGTATAAAAACCATGACAACTTGTGAAATAAAAAAAAAAAATGTATTATAAGAATTATAACTTCCCTACATAGCACTTAAAATGCTTTGTCTTATTCGAAACTAATATAATGTACTTGCAGGATTTCTGCTTTTTTGAGTTTATATCTTACAAATAGTTGAATGCGCTTATTTTAAGGTCGCTTGGAATAAAACCATCATTTAAATTAAATGTAATTTGAATATGATGAAATTGTACCAATAATATAAACGTAACCTAATCTTGATCTCAAATGTGCAGAAATACCTGTTTTAATCCGAGAAAATAAAGGTTTGCATTGTCCACACATTGAATTATAAATCAAATGTCAACTTAGTGATCGAGTCTCAAACTTTCAAACTGTTCTGAAAAGACACGTCTACTGCAAACATAACTTTGGTGTTCCTGCTCTAGAGTTCTTTTTAACTTATCAGGGAACCTGCTTAGAGTTTTAACACACACAACTACACACATCACTTTGTTTGATTTGTTTAAGTAATCATGATACATGTGGCATCACAATCTCTTTTCATCCACCGACCTCCAGCGTTAGGTAACAGGTCAGGGTCTGTACTAGAACACCATCACAGCTATTCATTAAGGACTTTTTAAAAAAAAAAGTATGTAGAAAGGGCAGCCTATGATAACTTACTAAAGAAATGGACAGCATCTCCCAAAAAACACATCTGTTTGTGTAGGTTTAGAATACATTAGATCAGGTATCAGTGGTTTTGATGTTTGGTCTCAGTGGTGCTCCCCTCTCCTCTGCAGGCAGGACATCGAGCAGCAGCTGGGCTCTCTCATCCTCGCCACAGACATCAGCCGGCAGAACGAGTTCCTGTCCACCTTCAGAGAACATCTGGACAACCAGGACCTGGACCTTCAGCTGGCTTCACACAGACACTTTATCCTGCAGGTACGTCCCTCACGCTGCTCTGCAAAGTTCTGCAGTAAAGCTAGCGTGGCTGCACAGTTTGTATAATCTCTCTGTCTCTGCTGCAGATCGCTCTGAAGTGCGCTGACGTCTGTAATCCGTGTCGGGTTTGGGAGCTGAGCAGACAGTGGAGCGAGAGGGTGTGTGAGGAATTCTACAGGCAGGGTGAGTAAAGTGTGTCTTAAAGAAGACAAAAATAAAAACTACTTTGTCTTTTAAGTAGGACTGCATATAGCATTTTCACTACTACTAGTGTTTGCACACAGTGGAAATGATTTATAGCCTCATTTTCACATACTGGTTTAGCAACCACTCCTATAAAGACCACATTTCCCAAATACATTCGTAAATATTAGACTTAAATATCCTTCTGACATATTTGTTTGTTTGGTTTTCACGCACCGTTGTATTATCTAGCACTAAGTAGGATATATCAGCGCACTTGAAGCTTCCAAGTCGAAAATAGGACTTGGAAGCAGATCCTCTCAGAAATGGTCTTTTGTTCACATTCATTTTGGTAAAAAAGTCATTTTAGGAGCATCGCCCGACCGGCCACCCCTCGAAACCGGCTGATTGTAAACTGATTGGTTTGTACGTTTTGTTGCCGGTGAAGTTACCCGTTAATAAGATAGTTTGACGTCGCGTACACAACATGTTGACATTTTCATTGCGAGTGAAGGAAGACATAAAACTCGCAATTTGTATCAAGCCCTGGAGGTCAACCTTAAAAAAAAGATTTGACAACAAGAAGGTCCTTGAAGCAGTTTTGGAGAGAATGTAAGTTATTTAAGTCAATGTTTTATTATGAACATACAATTGGCTTTTCATTTGTTTTTGTATGGTGTCACTTATAGTATTAACTATTTAGTACGAAAATCGGCAGGACAGACTTTTAAAAAATCGGGAATGGTAATCGCTCGGTGAAATTACATTGGAGCATCCATACTGAAAATGATAAAGGCAAATGTTGAGGCTTAAGCAGTTTAAAATATACTTATATTACTCTTTTGGCATTTGTCAGTAAAGATACCACCCTGAACATGTTATGATAGGCTGCATCAGCATCATGTTTGTTATGGCTTCTCTTTTACTCATCTGGAGAGTGTTTTCTGAATTTACCCGACAGGAGACCTGGAGAGGAAGTTTGACATGGAGATCAGTCCTCTGTGTAACCAGCAGGCTGACTCTGTGCCAGCCGTTCAGATAGGTGAGTACCAGGAGCACCAAGAGCTGTGTTTTCATCAAACATCTTATCTTATTCTATCCCTCGACTGACTCTGAGATGACTCACCTCTGTCTTTGTTTCTCTCAGGGTTCATCTCCTACATCGTGGAGCCTCTGTTTGACGAGTGGCACCGCTTCACTGAGCCCAGCTCTCTCAGCCACACCATGACGGGTCACGTGCACAAGAACAAGGCACGCTGGAGCCGCCTGCGATACGCAAACACTGCTTCAGACTCACAAGCAGAAGAGCCTGAAGGGGGAGGAAGAGGAGGAGGAGAGGTGGAAGGCATCTCTTAATTTTCCTCCTATCTATTGAGGTGTTTGATCTTCCTTCGTAAACGGAGGAGAGGAGTGTGTATCAACTTCCTTGTTTGTCCTTCAGCAGTCTTTCTCCCACAGCCTGTTGCTCATAGGCTGCAGGGAGGGGGGGTCTGGCTTCCATTCATACGGAATGGCTCCCTCTGCTGGAGGAGAGTGCTGTAGCACTGAGAGGTGAAAAATAAGGCGCAGAAAGATTGAACTTTCAGATGGATGGATACCCTGAGCAAATATTTACCAATTTGAAAAAGACATGCCTCGTTCTTATCCCCTGTGAATTGGAGCGTTTATTTTTTATGGCAGAACACGGTATAAATGAATTTGCACAATGCTGCTTGAACAACGAAGACATTAAAAAGCCAAACGTTTGTACGAGTCAGCTGGACTGTGCTGGAAAAGGTGAAGAAATGAATGTTAGAAGAAAAAGAAGAACATTTCTGCCTTGCTTTTTAAACAACACAAACTCTATTAAACTCTTTTCACTTTTTTCTCTTTTTGTACAGCTTGCACTTCTATTAGATGCTCTTTCATACAAGTGCGTCACTTCTACTTTTCACTGAAGTGCGTTTTTAAAGTTAGTATGTCAAGGTACTATAAACTTTACAACATTTCTCTATTAACCGTGTAACTTACTGACTCATACAACTACTGACTGACACAAAGTGGCTTGAACGCTGATGTCAAGTGTCAGCTGGATGTTTCTGAACTCGCCAATGATGAAAATACAAACCGAAGCCATGTTTTTAAAGTGTTTGTGCTCATGTCTGTGTAGAAATGGTATAATATGTAAATACTTTAATGTTCAACCTCAGCACTTCACATGCCAAAATCTAAGCAATGTACGTACCTTTTTTATGAGGAGTATTGATATTGGGACATTTAACTCGTTACACTTGTGTGACCTTTGCAACAACTCATTTGGTGCATTTATTTATCGGATATGCTCACTTTACCAGCTCATATACAACACAGCCTTAACAGGAAATGTCTGTTAATCTTATGTTTTAATGATGTTTGAACCTTTACTGGTTTTTACAGTTTCTGTGTGTTTTTCTTCAGCCATACCAGCGTACTGTAACTTAACTCACATGGCCAAACACTACTCCAGCCTGCTTACTGTTTGATCTTTAACAGTCTCAGGGTCAGATTGGGTGTTTCCCCCAGTGAGCATTTGCAAGGCGCCAATTCACTGTTCTGAGAGATGCCCTCACTGCTGTACCTCTCTAAGGCTTTTATATTTCCTTCTTCTTACATTTGCTACAGTCACTGTGTGCACATCATGATCTGCCACGTTCATACTTGGGTCAATTTGTGATTGCAAATACCTCTGTCTAATATTTTCATACGATACGATTAACTGTTTTCACGCAGACGAGGGCTCAGTGTCCCAATCAGCTATAATCGATAACTGTACTTGTTAACTTTTTTTCTACAATAATACGTCAATATGTCTGCTGTAAAACCTTCAATAACAACACGATATACCATCATTCTTTATATAATAAATAATATAAGATATATTTAATTCATGGTCAAAATTGTACTTTTACATCACCCGTATGAAGCTGATATAAATGATATATTAAATAAAGCCTATAAAGAGTTTGTATATACTGTTTGGTCAAATGTACCAATATAAAGTGTTATTTTGACCACTTTGATATACATATCTATCGTTGATGTGGTCACGTTCTGTCAGGGCCGAGGCTTTGTACTGTTACACGATGCTAACAGAAGCTGTAGTTGAGCTTTATGATTCAAACAACCCAGCAAACACTGTACAACACACAATGATATCCCACATATATATAAAAGTTATCTTGAATAAAAGTGTAAAATATATATATACAGTATATAATATCAATGAACTCAGTGTTTTGAATGAGTTTCAGTGCAATAAGGTTAAGTCACTGGTGAGTTGTAATAAAGTGACCATATTCAATACTTCCTATAGCTCTGGTAAAGCATCTATGTCTTCACTGTAACTGGTTAACCTGACACTCCTAATGTAAGCACCACTGTAGTGCACACTGTGGTCATTATCTCACAGGACTCATGTACCAGCAGTTATTAACCATGAATCATCTCTGTGTGTGCTACCTAAAACATCAATATGTTGTTATTTCTAAGTGTAAACAAACTGAAGTTAAGACAAGAGGCCTCGTGTGGCGTTCAATACCTCTCACAACCGGCACTGATGCAGGGTCATTAAAACAGAGGCCTACTGGTTTCACAATAACAAGTGTATACTATATGTGTTAATACAGTTTTGTATGCTGTAGTGATTATCCATTACTATATTTATCATATCAATATAATATCAAAAAATATTGTCTGCTAAAATCTGAGAATTTACTTTAATGGCCAAAAGGGATTTGTTACAGTACCTTGTAATCAACACAAATGGCGGATTTTTTTTTAACCAGAAATCCCAATATATCTGTAAACTATAAATATTTGTTACGCATTATATAGTAGGGGTATGTTCTCCCTTATGTTACCCAGTATTAATGCATGTTCAAAAGTAACCACTGTGCTCAAACGCCTAATTCTGTGGTGCAGTTCCACCTCAGTTTTAACTGTGTTGTCCAATACTATAATGTCAATCTTCACACGTATTTTAGGTACGGTAGTCAGTTGCCTTATAGTTTGAAAGATGTTCATCCCAGTGCCAAATTACACAGAAGTAATTATAAAGTATTATTTTTGTTTTTGGCCAACGTTTGTTTGAGTCAATGAGAAATGTAGATGTATATATTTGTTTCTGTATTTTGTTAATTTGTTTTACTATGTCCATTTAGTGATGGATCTAGGAGCTTTTAACTGTTTGACATGGTCTTCGTGATCCAGTCGTTGTGGAGTTGTAGGAGTTGTAACCTTTCCATTTTCTCTGGATACTTTAGGCACATTTTGTCAATGTTTGCTTTTAAAGGTAAAAGTTCATTCTTGACCGGCAGAAATGTATGTCCAAACAAGGTTGATGTGTTTTCTTCAGTTGTCTTTGAGATGAAGATGTTTGTCTTTCCATTATGGCTAAGCAAAGATAGCTTCTTATAGCAGCAGAAAGCTTTTGTATTACCAGCTACATTTTAGATTGATGTCTTAAGGTTAAGTATATATTGTTGTTCATATTGTTAAAAAATGATCATAGAATTTCAAATGAAGCCAATGATGTCCACATTTGATACTGGTATTGGTGAGTTTATGGACATGCTTGCCATCTGACTTTTTGACTGTACAATCCAGTTCTGACACCTCACCTCTGAGCACTGTGAACTTATAAAATAAATATTTTTCAATCAACATTCAACGTGTTGGATATCCTATGTGTGGTGTTGGGTGGAAATTGACTGAATTTAGATAAATGCAAGAGTTTGATTTCAAAGAACACATGTTTGACCACTAGAGAGCAACAGTGTCTCTGAATGAGAAGCTCCTTGTAGTGGGGGGGGCATCTTGGGTGACTCTCCCTGCTGCCTTTTTTACTGTATAAATACAATAGTTGACCTGTGAATCAACATGACGAGTCATTTGATGTAAGCTTAGCTAGGGGCCATGAGCTCATGTGTAAACAGAAAACGTTGAGAAAGACGGGCTGAAATCAAACATCGTAAAGTTGCTCTTAGTTGTAGTTTGCAGGACAAACAACATGAAGCTAAATGAGTCACACTGTTGATTCGTGAAACTGGAATATTGCAGCGAACGTGCTCATATTTTAAAAGAAAAACGTACAGGAGGTACATTAAGCAGGTTATGTCAAAAATATTAAGACGAGTGGAAATGAACGTCAACAGGATTAATGTAGATTTCTTGATTAAAAAGAGGAGAGTAAAGCTAAAGAGCTGAAAGGAGGGAAAGCACAAAAGATAGTGTAGTGAGAAGAGAGGTGCTGTGTTTCCCTCCTTCATTTGCATATCTCTGATTTGCAATGCAAATGAGGCTCGTAGATGATGACAGTCTACTTATGATTGGTCACCTATTTAATTATATTACACTGTACAGTTACACTTTGCTAAACTTTATCTTTTCGAGTGACATGGGCCTTATTTAAATGCTACAACTCAACTTCATTCACCGCTGAGACTTTCTTAGTATGACTTGAGGTAAATGAGAATACAGACACATCACAAAAGTTCAGTTTTGAAGATTTAAATCTGTTCATCAGAGCATCACATCGTACATCCATGTATGTTTATGATTCTGTCTCTGTGTTTCTATTTGTCACACACACACACACACACACACACACACACACACACACACACACACACAATTCCCCTCATTCATTCAGTAGTCCTCAAGCATGCGTCACCCTAAATATTGACACTGCAAACAAAGCCCCTCTGATGCCCCTTAAATGACACTAAGCCAACCACTCCCATCATATCGATAACCATCTACCTCCAAAAGCAAACCGGTAAAAGGCACCTTACGCGATTTTTTTGCCGGTAGCTTATAATTACATAACATTTGGCTGACACTTTTATCCAAAGCGACTTACAATAACTGCAAGATCCAAACTCAGAACAACAAGGAAAGAGCAGATGTATTCACTTCTAGCAAGTCTTACCATTGTAAGTGCTGGTGAATTAGTTGCAAGCCCTAAATGAAAAAAGGAAAGAGCTTTTTATTTTTTTTCTCAAGAATTTAATTTCCAAGGTACAATTGAAACGGATGCTTTTACTGTACAAAATAGGATACACCCTCCCAAAATGTCAAGTGAACTCTAAAAAAAACTCCACTGCTCTGAGATGAAGAGCAAAGGTATGTGTAGAAAGTGAAAAATGAAACTTGTGGTGTACGTTTGCTTTGTCTGCCTCATCCTTTCTGTCTGGCTACCGTGCTCTGCACCTAAAGGGTTAATCTCCCATTTTTAGTCCCTGCTATATCTGCTGTGTATGCTTTCTTTCTCTAAAGAAGTATTAATTCAGTTCAATGCAGGTCATTTCCAATAGTCCTGTAACACTTTTTAGCATGTGTCTGTTATTCTGTCCAAAACCCTGACCTTTAGCAAAAAGAAGGACAGCATCTGATACATGTCTCACTCTCCCTCTCTTTTCCCCACACTATTACCAACTACACAAAGTAACTCATGTCACAATAATGACCACCAAATGTACTCGCTATTCTTCTGTTTATTTCAGAAAAAGAGGAACTACTGTAGCCCTCCACAGCGCCTGCTGTGACTTGGGGGGAGTGGGGCACGCCAAAGTACCCTTCAGAAACCAAGGTGCCCCTCTCGTTTGCCCTGTTGTGACCGCACAGCAAAAAAGAACACTGAACCTAAAAGTAGCCTAGTCCTGTGCCAAACAGAGGTGCCCCTTTTTCATCGTTGTTGGCTGTATCGCTTAGAAAGTCTGTGCAAAAGATGTTCAAGGAATACCAAAACATTTTTTTTTTTTCATATTAAATTCAACTCAATAACAATTTTTTTGTTTTAAGATGCTGCGCTGCCCCATCTGAATGCGTGCCCCTTTATCAATTATGACATGTTTAAAGTAATAGCTTTCTGAATCTGCATGGACTTACTAACTGACCCAGGAAGTACTTCATGTCATTATAATATCTTCAAAGCTTTACTTTCAAACTATTGTAGAGGATTAAAAAAAAGGGCTTAACGTTGAGTATTTGATATGACCAGTGTGCATAAATCCTGGCAGGGAGAAACCGTCTGAAGCTCAATGATGAGGATTGTCTATTGTCTATGTCTAAAGCCTATTATC